CTCCCTCCCCCCTCGTTACTGGCCTCCCTCACCCTCGTTACTGGCCCTCCCTCACCCTCGTTACTGGCCTCCCTCACCCTCGTTACTGGCCTCCTCACCCTCGTTACTGCCCTCCCTCACCCTCGTTACTGCCTCCCTCACCCTCGTTACTGGCCTCCCTCACCCTCGTTACTGCCCTCCCTCACCCTCGTTACTGGCCTCCTCACCCTCGTTACTGCCCCTCACTCGTACTGCCTCCCCACCCTCGTTACTGCCCTCCTCACCCTCGTTACTGCCCTCCTCACCCTCGTTACTGGCCTCCCCATCCTCGTTACTGCCCCTCACTCGTTACTGCCTCCCACCCTCGTTACTGCCCTCCCTCACCCTCGTTACTGGCCTCCCTCACCCTCGTTACTGCCCTCCCTCACCCTCGTTACTGCCCTCTCTCACCCTCGTTACTGCCCTCCCTCACCCTCGTTACTGGCCTCCCTCACCCTCGTTACTGCCTCCTCACCCTCGTTACTGGCCTCTCTCACCCTCGTTACTGGCCTCCCCACCCTCGTTACTGGCCTCCCTCACCCTCTTACTGCCCTCCCTCACCCTCGTTACTGCCCTCCTACCCTCGTTACTGCTCCTCTCCCACCCTCGTTACTGGCCTCCCCCACCCTCGTTACTGCCCTCCCTCACCCTCGTTACTGGCCTCCCTCACCCTCGTTACTGGCCTCCCTCACCCTCGTTACTGGCCTCCACTCACACCCTCATTACTGCCTCCCTCACCCTCGTTACTGGCCTCCTCACCCTCGTTACTGCCCTCCCTCACCCTCGTTACTGCCCTCCCTCACCCTCGTTACTGACCCTCCCCCACCCTCGTTACTGCCTCCCTCACCCTCGTTACTGCCTCCCTCACCCTCGTTACTGGCCTCCCTCACCCTCGTTACTGGCCTCCCTCACCCTCGTTACTGGCCTCCCTCACCCTCGTTACTGCCCTCCCTCACCCTCGTTACTGCCTCCCTCACCCTCGTTATGGCCCTCCCCACCCTCGTTACTGGCCTCTCTTTCCACCCTCGTTACTGGCCTCCTCACCCTCGTTACTGGCCTCCCTCACCCTCGTTACTGCCTCACTCACCCTCGTTACTGGCCTCCCTCACCCTCGTTACTGCCTCCCTCACCCTCGTTACTGCCCTCCCTCACCCTCGTTACTGCCCTCCCCACCCTCGTTACTGGCCTTCCCCACCCTCGTTACTGGCCTCCCTCACCCTCGTTACTGCCCTCCCCCACCCTCGTTTACTGCCTCCCCCACCCTCGTTACTGCCCTCCCTCACCCTCGTTACTGCCTCCCTCACCCTCGTTACTGCCTCCCTCACCCTCGTTACTGGCCTCCCTCACCCTCGTTACTGGCCTCCTCACCCTCGTTACTGGCCTCCCTCACCCTCGTTACTGGCTCCTCACCTCTATGCCTCCTCACCTCGTTACTGGCCTCCCTCACCCTCGTTACTGGCCTCCTCACCCTCGTTACTGGCCTCCCTCACCCTCGTTACTGGCCTCCCTCACCCTCGTTACTGGCCTCCCTCACCCTCGTTACTGGCCTCCCTCACCCTCGTTACGGGCCCCTCCCTCACCCTCGTTACTGGCCTCCCTCACCCTCGTTACTGGCCTCCCTCACCCTCGTTACTGGCCTCCCTCACCCTCGTTACTGGCCTCCCTCACCTCATTACTGGCCTCCTCACCCTCGTTACTGGCCTCCCTCACCCTCGTTACTGGCCTCCTCACCCTCGTTACTGGCCTCCCTCACCCTCGTTACTGGCCTCCCTCACCCTCGTTACTGGCCTCCCTCACCCTCGTTACTGGCCTCCCTCACCCTCGTTACTGGCCTCCCTCACCCTCGTTTACTGCCTCTTTCACCCTCATTACTGGCCTCTCTCACCCTCGTTACTGGCCCTCCCTCACCCTCGTTACTGCCTCCCTCACCCTCGTTACTGCCTCTCTCACCCTCGTTACTGCCTCTCTCACCCTCATTACTGGCTCCCTCACCCTCGTTACTGCCTCCCTCACCCTCGTTACTGGCCTCCCTCACCCTCATTACTGGCCTCCCTCACCCTCGTTACTGGCCTCCCTCACCCTCATTACTGGCCTCCCTCACCCTCGTTACTGGCCTCCCTCACCTCTTACTGCTCCTCCCTCGTACTGGCCTCCTCACCCTCGTTACTGGCCTCCCTCACCCTCGTTACTGGCCTCCCTCACCCTCGTTACTGGCCTCCCTCACCCTCGTTACTGGCCTTCCCTCACCCTCGTTACTGCCCTCTCCCACCTCGTTACTGCCCTCCCTCACCCTCGTTACTGGCCTCCCTCACCCTCGTTACTGCCCTCCCTCACCCTCGTTACTGCCCTCCCTCACCCTCGTTACTGCCTCCCTCACCCTCGTTACTGGCCTCCCTCACCCTCGTTACTGGCCCTCACCCTCGTTACTGCCTCCTCACCCTCGTTACTGGCCTCTCTCACCCTCGATTACTGGCCTCCCTCACCCTCGTTACTGGCCTCCCTCACCCTCGTTACTGGCCTCCCTCACCCTCGTTACTGCCTCCCTCACCCTCGTTACTGCCTCCCTCACCCTCGTTACTGCCTCCCTCACCCTCGTTACTGGCCTCCCTCACCCTCGTTACTGGCCTCTCTCACCATTCATCCCTTAAATTCACCATCTCTTCCTTTCATCCTCCATCCCTCATCCTCCTTGTTATCACACTCCCTCCCTCACGTTCTCGTTAAATCACTCAATTACCTCTCCTCGTCCTCCTCCTCCTCCTCCTCCTTCTCCTCGTCCTTCTCGTCCTCCTCTTCCTCCTCTTCCTCCTCCTCCTCCTCCTGACAAGCTTCACAACTTAATTGATCAATTTTCATTTTTTTTCTCTTTCGTCAAACCTTCGTAATTTCTTCCTTCACTAACTCGGCCCCTTATGTGCTGTGTTGCTGGTCCTCTCTTGAGGGGAGAGCACCAGGTGGGGGGAGACAGAGAACTCTCTCTCACCATTATAAGAATTATAGTGACATGATAATGGTGAGTAGAGTGATAGATAATGAGGATAAAAGTGGTAATATTATAGAAAATCATAATAATAATAATCATAATAGTTATAATAATAATATAATATATTAGCAAACATTAATTCAAACTTTAAGATGTTAAAATATAAAAAATATCCCAAAGAGAACTAAACATTCTCCTTTTCATGGACACCATGCCCAGCCCTTCTAGGGTAGGGTAGGTGCCTGAGTCCGAGCTTACAGCTCACAAGACTGTCATTCCCATTAGTCCCCTTGGGGCGGGGATGGCAGACCAGAGAGGCCTAGCTTGTGGCTAGGCCTGGGGACAGTTGGTCCCAAAGATGAGGAGGTACTTGTGCGTCCCCCATGGGAGACTTAGTCTCAGACACTCCCTAAAGAGGGAGCCAAGGCCGGGCTACCACCTGGAGAAGGTCCGGGCCGGGAGAATACCGGCGAATCTTTAATAATAATAATAAAATAATTCTCCTTTTTCTCTATTTCTCAATAGCGAACGTTGTTTTATTCCTCTAAAATAAATTCTTAGGCGTGAATAAACTTCAGAATATTTTTTTTGTTAGTGACTGGATCTCTTGTGGTTCTGAGAACCTCGTGAGATATGTCGAACTTGAAGAAAAATACATGGGTTTAATTACGAAATTGATTATCTAATTTGGTCCATAGATTTTTTTTTTTTTTGGATATCACTGTGAAAACTTTGCGAAATTGTAAGTGTGGTGGATGGTGTCAGTTTTTTTTTTTGTGTCTTCAGAGGTTTTGTGTTGGTGTGGTGGTGTTGATGTGGTGGTGTTGGTGTTGTGGTGTTGGTGTGGTGGTGTTAGTGTGGTGGTGTTGGTGTGGTGGTGCGCTGAGACATTACACGCGAGCTTGTTGCTTTGTTAAAACGTTATATGTGGGTGTGTAGTGTGCTGAAAAGTTTAGTGGATGTGATTGATTTTGAAATGTCAGGTATGGGTGTAGTGGAAGTGTTGCCTCGATGCCACCCTTTACATTCATTGCTACTCCCTCACCCTCCCCATCGCTCCCTTTTCCTTAATTTGATGCTCAGCTTTCTTCACGCTCCCTCCCTTGGTAACCTGATATACTTATCCTCATCGTTCTGCCCTCTTTCTCCCTTCTTAATCGTTTTTTCCTACCTTCTTCCTTCCTTTCTTGCTGCCTCCTTCGCTCCTCGCAACAACACACTCGCCCTAACCCCACAGGCTTGGTGTCCCGGGACTTGGGATTCCAGGAAGTTGAGTTCGTCTCTGGTGAGTGAGACTGGATCCCCTTACATGGCAGATTGGCTCTTCACGCCCCTTCCCCTCTCTTCCTATCTCCCTCCTAGTGATGCTTCAGGTTGCCTCAGCACCTCTCCGATCTTCCTCTCCCCCGTCTTCTCCTGCTAGTGATACTTCGGCAAGTCTCAGATCGAGCTCTGCCTTCCTGTCTGACTTTTGAGGGTGATTTTATCGTTTTAGGTCTCAACACCCCCTCCTTCACTCCTCCATCCTGAGAGTGCTAGTGCTGTTTCCGGTCCTTCCTGACTATGCTAGTGCTCCTTCAGGAGGCCTCAGTGCCTTTCCGCCCCTCCATTTTCCCATGGTATCATTAGTCCTCTACCTCATTTATATTCGAAGAGGAGGACTATGACAACGGTGACGAAGATGAGAAACAATGATTCGCTCAAGAAACCTGTGGAGGTGTGTTACGAGAGCCTGATCCATGGTATTATGTCAGGGACAAACGGCAAGTGTAAAGCGTTAAGATACATTTCTGTAAACTATACACCGAGTGTACATAGCTTTCAGTGTATATACTCCGAGAGTTCACTTTACATATTTTTGGGATGAAAGTATTCATGACTGATAATGCCCACTTTACCCAAATACCGGCGCTAATAACCTATAGTAGTCAAAGTACCTAAAAGAGAAAGAAGCAGCAGGTCGCTTAACCTTAATTCTTCTTTTCCCTTGCTCCTTCAGGAGAGGTTCGCTCGGAGCTGCGGGTGTGGTCCAACGGCACTTGGCGGCAGGACCTCCCGTGGGGCGGCTACGCCCGAGCCCTGGCCTCCGCCTCCTCCCCGCTGCTGGAAGTGTCACTGCCCACACAGGCCAGTCTCCTGCCGGCCATACACCGCTATGAAGTGGCCATGGCCCCCGGACCGCCCAACGCCCTCACCATCAGCTACGGCGTTGGCGACCGCCGGAGAAATGAGCGGGTGGTGGAGACGGTTCTTCTGGTGAGTTTAAGGCGTCCTTTAGGGCGCTGTCTTAAGTCCTTTTCTCTTTGATAGATTAATCAGTAAGAATGAATGTTCATTATACAAGGATACAGTAAGAGCACGCGATCAAGGGACAAAGCCAGAGGTACAAACACCAATACATATTACATGAACACGTACTGGGTTTACAAATAGGTACAGACTTCATACAGAGGTACAGCAAATATAACGGGTACAAGAAAGATACAGCATACGTAAACAAGTACAGAGTACATAGGAACAGGGTACATATGTTCAGAGTACACAGATGGTACAGAGTACATAGGTGGTACAGGGTGCATTGGTACAGGGAACATAGGTATGAGGTTACATAGGTGCAGGGTACATAGGTGCAGGATACATAAGTACAGGGTATAGGTACAAAGTACATAAATACGGTGCACATAAGTACAGTGTGAAAATCTATGTATTTTAGCGAGAACATGTGGTTTATCGGAAAAGCATTCAAAATGCTCTAAATCGTTGAATTATGCAATAAAATATAATTTTAGCTCAGTTTTCTGATTTATGCTAAAAAAATATAAGGACAAGAGCCAGTGGGTAACTTGCTAGCTTTCATAAAACAGACACATCACTATGGCTCTCCACGGAGGGGTAAGGGGAGGGTGGCCCGCTTCCATGTAAAACAAAGTCTTACACTTTGTTTATCAAGGTCAGTGTGTACACACACAGTAACTTTCGCTCGCGTCGTATGGCGTTACAGGTGAATGGATCTCGGGTGTTGCGACGCGCTTGGGATGGCACCAGTCGCACGGAGTCGCTGACGGACGGAGCCAGTCAGCCGCTACTACGTCTGACATACGACCACAACGGACACCCGACCTCCCTCACCCTGGGTGACCACCTCTCCTCCCTCAACGTTACCTACGACAGGTAAGTCGTGGTCACTTTGCATTACACAGTCACAAAAGACGACCTCTCCTCCTAGGCTGTTGCGATATACATTTAGTG